TTTAAATGCTAAAGAAACTAAAAAAAATTACAAAGCAATAAATTCCGGTAATTACAGAAGTATGTATGTGTTGGCAGACGCTCAACTAAATTAATTATTAAAAGGAATACGCAAAGAAATTTATACGAATTCAGCAACTGAGAAATTGAAGTATTTTATTTCATATCTAACGAGCCTGCCCAAGTTCGTATTTTTGTCATATTTTTCTTTTCTTTTCCGTTTTTTCCTTTTCTCAAATCTATTTTTTCGTAGTCTTTCTTCTATGCCTTCCCATTATATGCATCGCTTCTTTGACAGCCCAGGAACTTCGATCAATTTTACTTAATTTTGCACCATTTAACCTACGGCCATTAATAATTGCCTACATACATAAATGCTCGTACGATAAATGGATACACATAAATTTCTGTGTCGTTTATCCTTTTATCTTAATATGCAATCAATTTGGTGTTTTTTTTTTGTGCTGCTTGACAGCCTAAAATTTGCTATTTGCTTTTATATAAGTATGTATTGTATTGTAAATTTGTCGGCATTAATTTATTTGTGTATTTAAAATACACTTATATACATACAAATGTGTAAGGATACCAACATAAGAAAAAATAAAGTAAACAGCAACAACAACAGTGATAAAAACCGAATTTTATTAATACACAACAATTATGAAAATGTCTTTATTAATGATCGCAACTAAACAGCAAATTTACTAGTCGAGTGCCTTTTAACAATAACAACAACAGCAACAATAATAGCGTAGCAAAAACAGCGGTTAGCAACAGCACCGGAGTGCAGTGTAATGGGCCGCAGAGTCGCGTCGATTTGTCTGCTGAGCTGAATCTACGGCAAACATTCGAGCGCGCCGATAACTGTCAAGCACAAAAGAATTTACTCACAAGTAAATATGTACATACATATATATATATATGTAAATATGTATAGAAATGTATATTGAAATTGTGTGTATTTGCTTTGCTTTGAAGACGATTGGAAAATGCCAATAATCGCTCATTATCGTTGTTTTATTAGTAAGAAACGCCTAAGTGTTATTGTTGTTTTTGATTGTTTGTTTGCCATTATTTGCATATGCTTCAATTTATCAATAATAATAATAAAATAGATTTACAAATGTACATCAACGGACTACACTCACAGCACAATTGGGGCGGTGATGAAAGTTGTTGTTATGCTTACTCTTTTTCTATAAATAATTACATACAAAGCAAATATAAGTTTGCCAAACAACAATAAAACGATCATATTCGATCTTTCCATATTGTCTCTTATTTATAGTATTGGAACATTGCTAATAAGGAAATATTTTCGAATTCTCTTCTTTTGCTCTTTATTAGCTTAGAGTCGACTTTCCACAGGATCTTTTCCATTTAAAATACGAAATCATCAACAAAATATATTTTTTTTCTATTATTTTTGAATTTAGAGAAGAACAGTTTATTATTAAATATGGCAATTAAATATTTTCAATTTTAAAAATACTTGTTAGCACTTGAAATATAAGGAATCTGTGCAGTAGTTTTGCAGAATTTTATTTAAGGAATATTTTTTTTTCAAAATTGTCACTTTTTTGTCGTTAAATTTTAGGTTCTTAAGAAGAAAAGTCCATCTCTTCGAGTATATATTATCTGATATCATATATATATAAAATAACTCAGCCATTCAAATATTTATAATAATATTCCTTTTTTTTCAAAGTGTAAACTCACAGCTGCTGAAAAAAGTGAAATAAAACAAAGGAAATTCGAATGTTCGTAAAAAAATTTTTTTTTGAATTTTTGCCATAAAAAATTATTCATTAAATATTAAAAATGCCATCTCTTTGAAAATTAAAAAATGTAGAGTAAAATAAATTGAACAAATATAATATAATATAAAGTATAAAATAAAAATCGGAGCCTTCAAGAACATTATTTTGCTCAAAAATGCTGTGCAATTGGACTTGAAACATTTTTGCAGAATTTCAATACTATAGCTCTGATATTTTTTCCTCTTGACAAATATTTCCTTCAAGAATACTTGCAGTCTGCTAAAGAACACTGCAGTTACTAGAGAACACTCGAAGGAGTGAATATTAATGCGAAGAGAAATCGAGTTTTTTCTAGTTAAGCAGAATAATTAAGCAGTTCTATTGAAGGGAAAGGATAAGAAATGTTTATTTTTATATACAAGCGCGTCATACATGAATAATATAGGTAAAACTATTTACAAACTACAATATCTCTTTGTCATCATGAAATCCACTAAAATATTTTACATGGAAATTATAGTTTCGAAAAAGGCTATCGCAGTGGTTTACTAAATAAAAAAAACTTTTGAATTCATAGTGGTTGAAGGCGTTTCTAAAAACAACTCATTAATGGTGATTACAAAACCCAAAATAAGTTTAAAATATATGCGTAAGCCTTGACTCGTAAAAACAAAAATATTAAGATAAAAAGAGTTAGGGAAATGACGGCTCGAAGTTAATATCTTTGAGGTAATATAAACAGATATCTCCTCTCTTCTTTTTTGGCAGGGAATTTCAAACATGAAATAAAAGTGTCTCATAAAAATTCATTGGTCGCTCTGAGGCAGCTTAAATTGTAGGTCCCTCCATTTGCTGGAAAACATCAAATCACAAAACCACAAATTTTAGGAGGAGCTCGGCCGAAAAACCGTTTCAACCTTTATGCAGTGCCAGTTATATATTATATAAAATAAATATCATATATATATACATATATATGTATATATACCCATTTCTTTTAAATTTCAAATTTTTCTCACTAAAACAAAATATCTCTTCTAAAATTGAGAAATTTAAAAATATCCATACTTAGGGTTTAGGTTTATTTTTAAACACAATTTTATCGCCAAAACATGTTGTTGTTTTCTCTAAAAACAAACAAACAATAATTGTATTTATATTTTCAGTGCCTCGAAGCATTGTTTGAGCATATTATTTACTTTTCTATTTGACCTAAACACCAAAACAACGACCATTGCTTACCGAAGCAATATTTTTTCGGTTGCATAGCGATAAGAGTTTTTTGTGTAGATATATATATATATATGTACGAGTAACTGGGCGTTTTTGTGTTTTCCTTTTCTCGGGCCCTAAAAATAGTGGCGAAACTGTATGTTTCCGGTAGTATTTTGATATTAAATACTTACAAGACCATATGTTCGTACAGGGTGTATCGACAATTATTTTTTTGTTAAAAAAATATTTGGAAATATTGTTTTAAAATTCCAAAAAAAAATATATAAGAGTGCAACGCCTTAAATGTTTAAATTACTTTTTCTTTATGTACTCCATAAAAAATTGATTGAAATTAGGTTTAGTTTTGAAATAGTTTACGAAATCTTCGATCCGAGAATATTTTTGCGAAAGGTGCCAGCTGTGTCATTTCTTTATGTGTGTCATTTTTTATTTTTTAATAAATAAAATTAAAAAAAAAATTAAAAATTTTGATTGCGCAATGGGTAAAATTTGGTAGGCCAAAGATCGTGTCCTGATTTGACCAAACATTCAAAAATTTTAGAAGATAAATAAAAAATAAATTAATTGCGGTCGCCCTTGTTCAGAAAATGTCTAGTCCTCCGGGTTATTTATGATATAAAACAAAAGCGTTTCGGCGTTACATACTTTTAACATTACTCCATATCACTCACCCTACATGCATACAGGCACCTGACTACCTATGAAATACTCACTCGATACACAGCATGTTTAGTCACTTATCGCTGTAGCAACAAAAGCATTTTTGAACTTTGTTTACAACAAGAGCTGAACAGCTGACCGTAGATTTGGCTTTGTGTGTGTGTACATGTAGACATCTAAATGTGTACATAAGCTAAGTTGAACATAATCAAAAATGTGTTCGAGTTACTAGATCATCATAATAACTTCTAAATATAAATAAAAACAAATTGCCTTTGCAATTGATACCAAGCTATATAAATATGCATAACTATACATATAAGAATATTAAATGTATATACAGAATTCTATTAATATGTGCAGTTCATTATAATTTATTTGTCATATTTTTTTTTTTAATTGATATTTTTTAATTTAATTTAACTCAATTTTTTTTAATCTAATTTATTTTTTTTTATTTTATTACTTTATTTTAGTTTGGTTTATTTCCTTTTATTTTAATAAATATTAATTTATTGTTTTTTGTTTTAAAGTATGTCATTTAATTTTAATTTATTTTGTTTTAGATTATTTATTATTTTATTTATTTTATTTATTTTACTATATTTTACTTAATTTTTTTTATTTTATTTAATATCGCTTTTGTTCATTTTATTTCCTTTTATTTTATATTATTTTACTTTATATTATTTCATTTTATTTAATTTAACCTAGTATTGGTTTACTTTACTTAGTTTTTTTTGTTTTTTTTTATTTTATTTTATTTTATTTCATTTTATTTTATTTTATTTTATTTTATTTTATTTTATTTTATTTTATTTTATTTTATTTTATTTTATTTTTAAATAAATTATTTAATATTTATATTTTGCTTAAATTCTTTTTTATTTTAATACATTTTAATTGACTTTATTTAAACTAACCTTAGTTTTAGTATAATTTCATATAATTTCATTTAGTTTCATTCATTTTTTTATTTAATTTGATTGAACTTACTTATTTGATTTTTTGTTTTTATTTAATTTTATTTGTTTTGTTTGATTTTAATTTATTTTATGTTATTTCAAATTGGTATTATTTGAATTTTTTTGTGTGTTTGCCAGAGTTTTTAATATCTCTTAAACCATAACCTTCCAATCGGATCCCTAAGCCTAGCAATAACAAACACTACCTGTTAGATTAAATGTGACAACAAACATCTGATCGCTATATATTATATATTCCATTCTCTCACACATCAGCTTAACTGTATACATCAAATCATACACATATATGAATAGTTGTATTTATACATATATATCGTGTATGTATACTTTGCATATAAACTGGAATAAGGAAACGATTGGCCCTTTGCCTTCTTTGGTCAGTCGAAATTGAACGGTGACACTGTTAAGTTCGTTGTTGTTCAGTCAGCCTCTGACGAAATGTGAAAAAATCATAAAGAGCTGTCATGGCACCAGCTTACTCCAGATTGAGGAAACCCTTGAGTCAATTCCATTTGCCACTTCTCTTATTAGTATCGGTGATGTTGGTGGGACAAGTTTGTCATGCAAAGCGTCCGGATGTACGGTGCGGCAAAGCCATTGACGATATGCTGGCACTTGTTTGTAGGAACGGCTTTAATAAGATGGATTTGGGTAAGTAAACTTAATTTGTTCCCTAAAATACGCTACAACTTATGAGAACTAAGTGATAAAAAAATCTTAGCAAAATAAAAATAATTTAAAATAATAGCGATTTTCTTTCTCTTCACAATTTTCAGAAGGCTCACTAAGGCGTTTACGCAGTCGCCGAAATACCGAAATATTCCTCTCACCACAGCAATTTATTGAACAAATCGAAAAGGAGCATGCGAAAATCATAGCAAAGCGAGGCAACCGAAAGCCCAGTTTGAAGAAAATGCTGAAAATGGAAGCAAGTTGGCGACGAAAACATCAAACAAAGGGTAAACTTGGACGTGTACGACGAGATGACGTCCGTAGCGAGGGCGTGGCAGATGAATGCTGTAGCTATGGTTGTGCCTTCTCCGATATGGCTACATATTGTAGACGTTTAATCGAAAGTCTTAGTTAAGTGACAAAATCCATTTGTGACAAAGTGGTAAATATTGAATTTGACATGAAAAATTTTGTAATATACAATAGAATTATACTTATTTAAATATAATTTTATTATGGAAACTTAAGCGTGATAAACACTAACTTTTTTGTTTAAAGATAATAATCTTAATTTGCTATTAAGGAACAAGTGTTTGTATTTAAAATGACCGAAGGAGTGGATATAAAAAGTTTTGTAATGAAAAATATGTATAAATATGAATAAATATAAAATAAATGGAAAAAATTTTAATTTTATGCTCAGAACTCTACAAAAAATTTATATTTTTAACCATTTGACAACTTCACTCAAATACACATTAATATTAAATTGGAAGTATTTATGGAAAACTTTAGGGTGACCAAAATATTTTCATTTATATTTAATTTAAAACACACTTATTTTGAAAGAGCTGGAGCGGGTTGAAAAGAGTTATTAGTAATCTAGAGTTTTCCATCTTTCGGTAGAGTATTCGATAGAAAATGAAATCAAATTCGATAATGATTCAAAGTGACATTTTTCCTTTCGAAATATAGTATAAAACAGCTGATGACAACTATCCATATAAAATCAGATTTGAGTTCAATGAACTTTTAACAGTCAAAACGAAAGCCATTTTAGACATAAAAACACAAGGAGAATCTTCTCTCCAATCCAAGAGAAGTGAGATTCATATGTCTTTCACATGATTGAGGGTGCGGATACGGCTAATAAACTTCATCCATATCATGTAGCTGAAACATAGTAATGATTTGTTTCATTAGGTGCTTACAACAAAGGAATTGGTGTTAGTTGAGTTAGTTAAATACGGCTAGAGTCGAGGGGGACTTAAAGTCATTAAAGGCATACGTTAGGCATGTTCGGCGGAGAACGTTATGGTTGCGCTCTTTCGATAACTCCAGTAAATAATATTGCAAGGGTTTCGAACTACCTGATTTCACGAGGAATCGGATTGAAGAACATGAAGTTTTTGTGATTGACAGCAAATTAAATGTGAAATTATTTGTGTAGAATGCAGAGCGGCGAAATATGAAATTTGTGTATTTTCAATCAATATATTTCAATATTTCAAATATTTGTAAAACTTCACTAAACTTATGGTCAACATAATCGGCCTACTGAGCGTACTTTTCGCAACTTCATAACCCATTTTGATACCCTGCATTCATTATTAGATAATATTCAATGAAATAGACTACATCCAGCACGCAGTGAAGAAAATAAGGCAGCCACAGCTGAGAGCGATCTCGATGACCGAGGAGAGTGGATTCGGCGCCGTTCGCAGTGATTCGGACTGACGCCATTTTATCCAGATAAAACCACAGTTTAATTTTTTTTTGTGAGCCGGTGGAATCATAGGTTTATATATCTTCCATGCCGATGAGAACGTAACTGTCAATGGCGACCGTTATCGCGCTAAGTTTGTCGACTATTTGATGCCTGAAATTGAAGCTCGTGATCTCGGCTACATTTGGTTCTAACAAGACGGCGGCATTTCCCACCCACCGCATCAGTCGGCAGATTTATTGACAGAATACTTCGGTGAACAGATGAATTCAAGTTTTGAACCGATCGATTGGCCTCCAGGATTGTGTGATATCACGCTGTTAGACTTTTTCCTCTGGGGATATGTAAAGTCTCAAGTCTACACGGATAATCCCGCTACGATTCAGACCTTGGTGCGAAAATTTCGCGTGACTCTGGCCACTTACATAATGCAATGCTCGAACGAGTCATCGAAAGTCGCAATAAAAGGATGGACCATCTGATACATAGCCGCGTCCATTAGTAGACTTCGGGAATGTACAAGACGATGCAAAATATCCAAAACTAGTTTGCAAAACTTATGACGTAAAACTCTCTCTGTTCTTACTAGAGACAAAGGGCTCAAACTACTGGATTTCAAATAAGGTTTCATTGATGATAATAAGATTTCAAATTGTTCTTTTTAAAGGTTTGTTATGAAAATAATATGTACTTTAACTGAATAAAATACCAATTACGCTGCTGATTATATTGTATAATTTTTCTGGTAAAATTTGCAAAAAGGTGGTAGCTTTGCCAGTCTTTTGTATGATTTCTAGTTCAAAACTGCATTTCTCAACCAGTCATCCATGCCTCTTTTCATTGCGTTCTGCGTGGCCTAACAGTAATAGCGAAATATTTTATGATAAACGAATTCAAATAAAAATTGCATAAATTTAAATAAAAATCGGAAAGATGAATGCATTATAAATTGCAGCACAATATTGGCCAAGGTGCACATTTAGCTGAAGAGCGCGAAATTTCTCCCTCAACACCAGCAACGAAAACTCCCGTTATTTTACCAGCCAAGGCAGTGACAAATGCTTTTCGCGTTTGGCTGTACTCAGTTTGGCGATTTTAGCAAATAAATTAAATTTTTTGTGTTGTAATTGACGTTGACTGCACTGTAGTGAGACTGCCGCAACTCGCTTGTTGTCTGACGAATTTAACAATAGCATCCTTGGCAAGAATCTATGACAGCGTTCGTTCTCTAGCTGTTAGTAAGATGTTTTTGCAATTTTCCTTTATAGCTATCTCTCTTTGCTCATATTCTCTATAGCACTGTCTGTCTCCGTTGATTGGGGGTTTTACAGATAGCTGAGATTAATTTCGTACTTATTGGCTATTTTTCGTTACTACGCCTCCTTCGCTGCCTCTTGCATTTTCGTGCACTTCACAGCCAGCTGGCACTTGCCATTGAGACAGTTCATCATATTTCTTGTACCTTGTGCTACAGTGGTACTACTCTCTCTCGCTCATTTTCCCACTCACTCTTTTGCCTCCTTTCTTTCACTATTTCCTCGTGACAGTTAGCAGTTCACTGCTTTTGTCCGATTTGAGCTCAGCAATTTTTTGGAGCCAAACTGTGTGTTGAAAAGCTAAAATTCAATGTTGACAGCTGAGATTTTTAGCTCATTGTTGAATGTCTAATTTGTGCTCGGAAATGGTTGATTGGGCGCTTGTGGAGAAGCTTACTTTCATTCATTTATACATACATATGTATATATACGAAAATAAAAATATTGATATGGAATTGTTAAGGAAAACAAGCAGAGAAGACTTGCAACATTATTGAAAGAACGTAAGGGAATTGTGATCCGCAACTAAGTTTCGTCATGCTCGGAATTAGCAGAGAGCATATAGTGAGAACTAAATGAAATTTATTAATTTTATTCGAATTTTTTGTAAAAAAATTGAGTTTTCACCTATTCGACAGTTTTATTAGAAAATTTATCAGAAATCAGAAGTCTTTCTGATCAAAGCTTTTCACTTTAAATTTGTGAAGTTACATTTCGTGATTTTCCATAATCAGCCAATCTTATAATGGACTTTTCGTTTTTTATTTTTTAAAAAATTGAAAACAGCCGTCGAGCCGAAGAGCTTCAATTCAATTTGTAAATATTAGATGAACAGAATTATTTTTTTTAATACAAGAATATGGTAATTAAACTATTTTTATTATTCTCAATATATGTAATTATTTTTTTTTATTGTTTTCCATTGAAATTTTTGGCATTTTTTTTTAATTTTTGGAATTTTTTATTCCGCTGAGTAATAAAGTAAAAGTAATTGTATAAGAAACCGTAATATTAAATGCGAGTTTCCTTTAGCCACACATGCCACAAAACCTCTTCAATTATTAATATGATTTGTTCATTTAAAATTTCTAAGAAAAAATGCCACTTTACGAGCAGTAGGAGAGCAATTCATTGCGAGTACAGGCCTTTAGGCAGCACTCATCGTAAACACCCTGGCGACGAGCACGATATTTGGTCAGTACATTGAATTCGTCACCAAGTATCTTGGCCATAAAGGGTGAGTCGGCATAAGGATAGGGTAACAGGTCACTCGCCACATCCTTACTGCTTTCATCCTCTTGCCACTGCACTGAAAAAAAATTTTTTTTAAGGATTTATTATTTACCTCAATAGATCTACTAACTAAAGAGTAAAGTTAGAAAATTCATCATTAAATACTGATCACAATTAGCTCATACAAATACACGTTTTCACTATACTACGTTTGCTCTTAAATGTACTCACAGGATTTCTTTACTTTCGCATTATAACCGTTCCAGCAAATCTCATCAAGCGCATCTGATAATTCACGTCCACAAATACGCTGTGAGCCGCTGCCACGCTGAAAGAGTGCTGACAAGAGGAGAAGTGCGGAAAAAGACTGCAAAACATTTATTTTCGACATTTTTGCTCAGAGCTACGTCGCTCAGCTGAAACTTTTCTATCTCTTGCAAATGCTTTTATATATGTCAGTTAACATCAACTTAAAACTCTGCTACATACATATACGTATATTACATATGCACATAAGGTGTCAAATGAAATTAGCGCAAGTGTCAAGAAATAATCTTTCTTACGTGTACACTCAACTCTATTGAATATTTATGAGTAGCTGCCAGACTGTATTATTAGAATCAAGAATCAACTCCCATAATTTAGTTGGTGAATAAAAAAACAAAAGTTTCTAGTAATAAAAACTAAAATAAAATTCATGGGTGAGATCATTTCTTACAGCTTATTCATGCACGAACTATGCCGAAGTTTTTTTTGCGCATCTAATTCAGCTGATGCTTATCACAATCATTACCACACCAAAATGCGCCCAAATCTATGCTGCAAATTTGAACTTGTGACAAAATTAAATTTTATGGAGTGCTATTAATGGTTTATTGAAAATAATTCACTATATTTATGAACAAAAATTTATAAAAACATAGAAAAAAAAATTAAAAAAAATTGTTTATATATCTGTGCTCGTATTTCATATACCCAAGACTCCTGTAATAAGCTCCTTTGATGCTTACTCCAGAAGAATCGGCATTTGATTGCAGTATGACAAAATCTCGTTGTAAGTGCACGCTTTGTTGCAACATTCATCGTACACACCGATCTTTGCAACATTTTCAGCATCACGATGACGACGAGTTTTGGCCAGAGAATTGATGTGCTCGCCACGCATTTTGCTCAAGAAAGGGAAGGTTGCATAGCCGAATGGTAGTTCATCGTCAATTTCATTATTGCCCAAATCATCCCATTCCACTGTAAGGAAAATTGATAAAATTTGGCTACACTTAAAAATACAATACTTAAAGTAATTTGAGGGACTCACTGGATTTCTTGAATTTTGTATTGTAACCATGAATGCAAATAGTTTTGAGCACCGCATCCAATGCTGGACCGCAAACAGTGCGCCCAGCGCTTTGATCCAAAACTACGACGACCACTAGTAGCATAGCACAGATTTTCACTAAGCTCAAAGACATTTTTGTGTTAAATATATTTATTTAATTTTTAAGTTAGTTTTTTTCTTTTACTCTTTACACTTTTCTTAGAGGCGGTGTGAGCCAACTGATGAAATTTGAGATTTCGACAAGCTTTTATATACGAAATTTTTTACGAATTTCAGCTAAGTCTTGTTTTTGTCCCGGTTAATAATAAGTGTGTGCAAGTGTTGTTACATATACGGCTACAAGGCTTAGCATAATGTTAACTTAACGTATTCCAAGGACATCTAATACTAAAAACAAATTTTCTACATAATGAATATGTTGCATATTTATGAGCGCACATTTACATATTGGCTCCGAACAGGTTTATTATTCACAATTAATATGTGCACTATTTTGCTTATACATAATCGAACTCACTTGGGTATTACTAATCCTACAGAAATAATACACATATATGGTTATATAGGGCAGTGAATTGTTGAAAGCAAAATTACTAATCTATGGCATGCTTGAAGGGGTCTCACAAGGTGAGATTACAAGTCTATAATAAAAATTTAAAACCCATTCAACTGTAATATTTTAAAGGGCCGGTAATTAAGCGGCTTTTTTCTTATCTTTTCATTTTATGGATATTTCAATATTTTTGTCTAAATTATTATTATTTTAATTTTAAGTTGAACCTTATATGACTTGAAGCAAAAATTAGTTTATTAACAAATTAAAACAAAAAAGGATTTTCAAGATAAAATAGAATAGAGCTGGCTGGATGTTTGGAAATTTAAATATAATTTTTTTTAAGTTAAACCCTTTCAAAATTTTTTTTTTTTCAAAAAGCAGATGAGATAGTGCAGCAATATTTTGTTAATTTTTACCATTTGCATGCCTTGATCTTGTTTTCGTAAAAAGTTCATATCTAAGTTTTGTCAAATATTTTTGAACTAGCAAATGACATTTTCTCTAATATTTTTGATACAGCAGCATTTCTTAAAAATCATTGTATTATATTGTATTTTAAGAAGCGTAAATTGAAGTTTAGAAAATGTCACAAAACTTCCTAATTAAATTTTTTTGTTACCTCCCAACCCAAATTTTTTTAGGGCTCAAAACAAATTAAAAGAAACTAATTATTGTTTTTTTGTGATGTAGCTTTTAAAAATCCATGCAGAATTTGCTTGTTTAAAAAATCTAAACTACAATTCAAAACTCTTTTATGAAACTTATTTAGAAAATTTATATTTGTAAAAAAAAATTTGGGTCGCAGAATTTAATTTTCCTATATTTCAAAACAAATTATCGTATTTTAAAATAGTTTTCATAATTATGATGAAAGAAATGCATTACCTTGTGCTCAATATTCATCAAAACACGATCTATGATTTCACCTCTCATCAAGAATTAAATTATTTTTCTTTAAAACCTAAATATATATTTTTGCTTCGAATTACGTTTGTGCTTTTCTATAATCCAACTGACAACTTTTAAATATAGTATTTAAAATTTGAACTTGTATTTATTTATAAAAATATATTTTGATAAATTTTTAAAAAATAATTTTTTATTTAAATTTATTTGTTTTAATATTTTGTTTAAATGAACTTATTTTAGTATTTTATTAAAGCATTTTTAATATTTATTTTATTCATATATAAAGTTTTGAACCTCACTTTACCTTCTTTTAGATCCATATCTCTTTTTTTTTTGTTTATATTTGACAAAATAATCTACTTTTGGTTTCAAAAGCTATCTAAGATATCAAATACGCTTTCATTATTCAGTTTGTCTATTTTAAGGTCTAAAGAAATATTATTGTGATTTTTTTAAATTACTCTTTTGAATTCGCCCATGTAAATTAAACAAAAATTTTTCTGATCCCTCATTCAGGTTTTATTTTGCAAAAATCAACAAAGAAATTTAGTAAATGTTTTCCTTAATTATTTTATTATAAAATTTTCATATAATTATTATTTACTTTTTCTATTTTTGGAGTTTCTTTAACAGTGCATAACATTTAGAATTAATTTTCATATAAACACTTAGTTGATTATTATAACAAGTGTGCCGATTTTCATTGAGCATCGAGTCAAAATCCATTCACAGATATATCGAACTAAAAGTATTTACTTGCAATAGGCCCGCAATTCGCTCATTTTGCAAGGTTTGCGACAACATTCATCGTAAACACCCTCACGGCGCCGACGAGACTTGGCCACTGTATCGACTTGGCCACCATGAATTTTCGCCAAGAAGGGAAAGGCTGCATACGGGAAGATCATTTCATCATCCAAATCTTTTGTATCCAAGTAATTTTTATCCAAATCATTTTTACCCAAATCATCCCATTCCACTGTAATTTGGAGAGTTTCGAAAATCATTTCGTAACTAAAGCTAAAAATAAAAGTAAAAAATTATTCCTTTAAACTACTCACAAGACTTTTTGAACTTCGTATTGAAACCGTTCTCGCAGATAGTGCTGAGCACCGAATCTAGCGCTGGGCCGCAAACACTTTGCTCACACGCACTCCGTTGGACACACACCAACAACGTGGTGAGTAAAGTGCAGATTTTAATTAAATTCATTGTTGACATTATCGTTTGTGTAATTTGTTTATTATATAGTTTATTAGTCAATAAAAATTAAAACTTTTATTTACACACAACTCTTTGTTGAAGGTGTGCAAAGTAACTGATGGTTTCTGCAAATTCCTGCTGCGCTTTTATATTAACGACTTTGCGAAAGTGGCTCATGAGTTCGTGGCATATACAGTTGTGTGTGTGTGTGTGTGTAAAAAGAGCATACGTTGATTTCACACATATAACGCCTCGCAGCCTATAAATCTGCCAAGGACACTTTTGCATTTTCGCATAATTAAGAATTACGTTTAAATGGAAATCGCGTAAGTAGGCGTTAGGTGTGGGCAAAACCTAAATTTGAAGTGAGTAAAAAGCGTAAGAAATAATTTAAATCCATTTAGACTTAGAAGCAGATCCACCATTTACCAAATATTCACCGTAGAAAAAACGGTTAAGGAAAAAATCATTACACAACACCTCATTGTAGACCTGCAGAAGTGTGCAGAGCCGATATGTTAGAATTAGGTATTACTGTTACTGCTCTGAAAGTTAACGCGGATAGACATCAGAGGCTCTATCATGATTAGGAAGGATTTGCCTAAGCTGTTCGGTACCAAGCATGTGACCTCTCGTATATGAAGCTGAAAAGATACAATCTTCCGTAAGATCACACAACCACTGGCGTATGTTGGTGATATTAATATCATTGCTTGATTATCAATCCTACTTTCCCCCAGACTCAAAAGGAGGCGAAGCGAATGGGTTTGGCTGTGAACAACGATAAAGCAGGCTCATCATCAACAAAAATACGGTAAGAGTATTCGCACAAATAATACTGTGAGAATTAAACCCTTTTTTACCAGCAAATGCTACTTTGAAGTCGATTAGTCCTAAGGACCTTTCTCGACGGAAAAATACCAAATACTACAAGTCGCTTACCACCACCGTTTTGTTTAGTGACGCAGAAGCGAGGACGAGTTCTTCAAGACATATGACGACATTGGCAGAATTATTTAAGATATAGCTACTGCAATGAATCAGTCTTGTTGCCCGAATGAATGAGAGCACTCTACCTTTGAGAGTAATCAACGGAGTACCTGCTGGTGGAAGTAAAGGATGGGGAAACACTTCAGTCCGGTAGAAAGAGCAATATTCTTTTTGAGCTTATCAAGTAGGGCATTAATCCCATTAATTATCTCCTCTTTGCTATTATAGACCTTTCCTATTAATTTTTTTTTTTTAATATTTGAAATTAACCAAAAGTTATAGAATATGGTATTGGACGTATTTCTTCGATCCAGAGATCGCTATAAAATTACTGGTTGTCTCAGCACTTAGGAAAGGCGCGTTGTCATCATGTAAAAGGTAGTGCCCCAAATCCCTTTTCTTCCTTTTTTCCATTAAATTTTTTCAAACTTTTTGTAAGCACTCTTCGGTATACCATTTCACAGTTGACGTCTGACCATTTTCCAATGGGATAGCTGCTACGATTTCAGATCAGGTGATGTAAGCCGACATAATTACTTTCGCTGTTAATTCCTATTGCTTAGATGTTACTGGTGGGTTTTCTCCTTGCTTGTAATGACTTTAGAAAAGTTCTTAGACTTATCGTTTTCCAATTTGTTTGGGCTTCATTTCAAATTCGTGGTACCCATCGAGCAGATTTCTTCGTGCATCCCAAATGATTACTTAATATTCGCGTTACAGTCATGGCATTCAAGCCCAATTCATTAGCAATCATTTCTTGGCTTAATCGTGGGTCTTTGTTAATTTTGGAATTCACGAGAACTACAGTGACTTCAGATTTTAGTCGACCATCTCGGGGATCATCCTCTACGAAAAAATTTAAGGAATCTTCGGAACCACTCAGGAATAGTCCTTAAAGACGGTCCAACCGTTCCATAGGCAACTCGGCATTTTAGCCGATCGTTCTAAAATTTGAAGGAAAAATTAAAATCGAAATACAACTAATCTCAGGAGCGTGGCTGCACATCCATACGTAGAATTGAAAAGTGTGTGTGAGGTGTTAGAATGAACTCTAAATCTTAAATAGCTGAAGGATAAAGAGGCTTACCGTCGTCAAAGTTAATATTTTCATAATGATGTTGGCAGCCGATACATTTGGAAGAGACCCATGTTTACAAGTGACTTGTTCTTAATTTATGTAGGTCTTTTTCGATGAAATAGTCAAACAAATGTATTGGTTCAGTGCCTGCCTTTGCTCTATGGTCAGCATATTCATTCCCTTTGATACCAACATGCCCATTTGTTTTGCCAGAGTAACTCCCTGATTCTGGAGATGATATAGGAATCACTGCCGAAATGTGGTGGCAATAAGAATTATTTTTTTTTATAGTTTAAAAAGAAAATGGTGTAAAAACTAAAAACTAAAACACAAATGATGAATTATAAATAACTAAAGCTTATAGCTCTCATACGCCGATTCCCTCAGATATGATGTTTTCTTGATAATTATTTTTGAATGCTTCATGGCCAGCGTACTCCCGGAGAGCCTTAGTATTCAAGACAGTAGGAGACATTTTTTAACATAGCACTCATCAGCACAACTGCAACTGTATTCATTTGACCATCACGAAGCTTAGCTTAGAGGGATGAGTTACCATAAGGGTAGGGCAGCTCATTTGCTTCTACTTCATTAGCGTCATCTACATGCCACTTTGTTATAATTTTTAGCCAATATTCTGCTGATACATTTTGTTTCAGAAATAAATTATGAAATTGAAAAATGCTCAGCGGCACTCACCTGACTTTTTGAATTTCATAACAAAACCAAAGATTCAAATAATTTCAATTCAGTATCAAGTAAACGACCGCAATGACTTTTGTAGCAACAAAAATATGCAGTTGTTCGTATAATTAACTAAAAGCGTAATATTATCTTTGGTAAACTGAAAACCCTTTGTTTCATTAGTCTGCTCTTGATTCTTATACTTATACTGAATTTTATACTGTGTGGAAAAAAACACAGATGTATTTATAAATACCCATATCATATAGTTTGACTGTAAATGCGACCCATGTGCGTATGTATAACTTGACTTATGACCACATTTGGTCAATTACTTTGATGAATATTTATAAACGAATGCAGAAACACAGGATGATACCCATAGATACGTGCATGCAGCGTATGCAAGTTCATTGTGTTAGTATTAGTGTAGTTCACTTGATGTTTTGGAAGCTTCGAGATATCGAAATAAAAATTAAAGGATACAAAAATATGTATGTATTTATTGTAATATTACATGCATATGTACATATCTATCATTTCTCCTATGGAAAGAGCAACTACAGATTTTCCATTCAAACATGAATGACATTTTTATTCTTCGAAATAAATTTTATATACAGGGTATACCCTGTACGAGTACATTGGACATATTGCGTGTGTTCTGCCTTTCACTGAGAGACTCAAATTTTTTACTAAGCCACGCTGGCTGATGGTTTTTATGAGGAGACCTTCTTTCATGTCAGAGCTACAATCGCAGAGATTAACATTTTCTTCGAAAGAGCCATGGGTTAATTTCATTCCCAATCAGCAAGTAAATTTGCGTGAAATTTGCGATGTTTCCGGTTCATGGTACCAATATTGCGGTATATCTTCTGGTCTTGAAAAGCAAGGTAGACTACCCCGACTCGAGGTGTGTGAAGCTATTCTTCTAGCGTCACTTGTTGCAGCAATCCGATCCAATCTAAAACTCTCGAAAAAAAGTTTGAACTATAGCCGAAATTATGTTGGCTTGATTGCAAAAGGTCCATAATCGCAGAAAGGAAATTCGCTACGATGGAATGGCCTCAATTAACTTTCCAAGCCCACTGAAGAATGGCCACAATCCGCTTCTGGACATTTCAACCCTCCGGAAGTCAGACGAATGAATTTCTTATTCACTACCGTAGATAAGATGCCTGAGTCATCCTCGCCATATTTTGCTCCTCCTCTCGAGCTCTGAGAGCGATGGCTTACATTGGTAAGCTTTTTAACGTAAAACGGTAATCTAAAATAACGAAATCTCCGAATAAGAACGCTCGATTTTTTCCCTTCACCATAGCTGGGGAATATTTTTCAGGGCATCTTCAGCTACGGGTATAAGTGTTAAGATTGACCAATATTACTATTAATTATTTGCTTAATATCATAGATAAATATCAAGCATGAAGAGCTTTCAAATAAAGTCACAAAATGCGCTTTATTTATTCTCAATATTTTTTGATTAATTCAGCACACAAACTCTTTCGTAAAAATATTATATAAAATGTTTAATTCCTCTTCGTTTGTCTTGCGACAACTCGAGAATGGATTGATATTGAAACACCTGAAGATGTTTGGGGAAGGTTTAGCTAAAAAGTGGATCAAGGACTGATCTATTTGAAAAACCGAATTTATGGTTAGGTTTGCTTGGTAGCAAAGCTAGGTCTTTGCTTCGACTACAAGAAGCACTGCTTTTTCTTCCGTGAAGTGGCCTGGGAACCGGCACATTCAAAAATTTGTGTTTATTTTTCGAACCTCTTTGAGGCCAATGTTACGATCTTTTTGAGAAAATAGATTTATTTAAATTGTATTTATGGTTACATCTTACTTTTATTGTATTATATTGACGGAAAACTACTACCAAGGATTTGATTGAAAATTACTTTACTGGTGGCCTATGCCACAGGCATTCATAAGCATATACGAGAATAGTACACACATTCACGAGGTGTAATCTTAAAGCATAAACCATAGCATAGAGCAATAATATTATGGGTAAATTATATTTCAAATCACACCTTTCGTTGTTCTTTACTTGCAACCTCCTTTACAGAATGAAATGTTAAATGTAAAAAGCCACCACAGCATGTGGCCCAGACTTTCGTTAACAAATAATAATCACTTTCATATTTGTACTCAATTTATTTTGCTTACACAATTTATTACCTTTAACTAATTATAATTTTCTAATATAATAATATTAAGTAATTTAGAACTTTCTGTGCCCGAAATTTGTCCGATCGCCGCCACATTATTTCTAATCAGCATTGGTGTTTCCTTAAAGAACTTTGTTTACTTGCAGTATGAAATCAATTCACTCATACGGCAAGGCTTGCGGCAACATTCATCGTAAACACCCTGACGACGGCGACGACTTTTGGCTACTGTATCCACTTGACCGCCATGGATCTTCGCCAAAAAAGGCGTGCTTTCATAAGCAAAAGGCAATTCATCGCCTGCAGCAGAGTTCTCCTGAGCACGCCATTCCACTGCAATGGGATTTTTTGATTAAGTAAATTACTTTTTTTTAACAAAAAATGCAATATATTAAGGTTTTATATTTTTATAATTTACAATTTTTCGCTTACTCACTTGACTTCTTGAAACGAGTATTGAAGCCATTTTCGCACACTGTGCTAAGCACCATATCTATGGTTGGGCCACAAAGCGTCTGATCGCTGGAACTTTGCTCCAAAGTGGCCAATAAAATCAGAAGTAAAGCGGAAATTTTCAACAAAATCGAAGACATAATGGATATTTTTTGTTTCTAATTTATAGGTTTTAGAAAGTAAATTTTTTCGTTGTCAAACACTTTCTATTAGGTGCGTAAAGCGACTGATGTAATTTGCAACAAACAGCTGTGCTTATATACTAACGAATTTGCAAATAATATCGAGTAGGCTGATAATGTGGAAGCATAGAATAGGTGCATATGTGTATGTACGTCATGAATATACGAAATAAGAATATTTCCGGTGGGAAAAAGAGAGGAAGGTTGCAAAAACTGATTGCTTTCGATAGATTCTTGCATCTAAATATGTGCCTACATACTACACATTTTGTAACAAATTTAAAAATAAATCTTCTTACCAATATAATTTACCTGTTACGCATAATATTGATTTTCTAAGAAAATGAAATATAATGAAAATGACACTGGCAGTATATAAACACAGCTAATTTTTGCAAATTACAACAGTCGCTTTACATAGCTCATAAGAAGAGTTAAGAAAACTTAACTTAATTTTCTTGCAGTTGTAAATTCAAAACACGTAAAATCTTCATAATGTGGTCGAATCATGTAAGGCTTTTCGCTGTTATTTTATTGTCATTGGCCACTTTGAGATCCAGCTTCGGCGACCAGACGCTCTGTGGCCCCACCATAGACATGGTACTTAGTACAGTTTGCGAAAATGGTTTTAATACGCGTTTCAAGAAATCACGTGAGTACACGGAAAATTTTAAAATTTAACATCTTAAAAATAATAATTTTAATATTTTTCGTTCATTTCATTGAGCTTTTTAATGAATCAACTATTTAAATAATAAGAAATTAAATTGTAGTTGAATGGCGTGATCAAGACAATACTTCAATGGTAGACGAATTACCATTAGCGAATGGAAACCTTGCTCTCTTCGCCAAGATTCATGCCGGTCAAGTGGATACAGTGGCCAAAAGTCGTCGTCGTCGTCAGGGTGTTTATGATGAATGTTGCCGCAAGCCTTGCCGCATGAGCGAATTGACTTCATACTGCATGTAATTCACTAGTTTTATTTTCCCGAAACAAATCGCTTATAATAGAAAAACCGGCAAACAAATAGCATTGTTTGGAAAAAGTTGTTGGACTCGGAAACAAAAATGATATATTTGATATAAACATTTAATAAGCATAAGTTTGTGTTAAATTATTTTTTATGAACAAGTTTACTGTAGAGTATACCTAATTATAGTATTAGTAAAATTCTAATCCATAAACTTGAAAATAAAAGTTGTTTTTTCGTTTTGTTACAAAATAACTTTAAATTGTATTTTTCTGTTATTTTCGTTAGGATTTAAAAAAAATAGGTCCCACACCTTTTCTTCATAACAATTTTTAGCTTCAACTCTGACATCACTGATAATGAGTTACCTCACAATTAAAACACGAAGTCCATATAGAAATATATTGGGTGTAATAAAAAGAAATCCATTATTTTTGCATGAAATTGGACGGTTTAATATTTTGTTTTCGTATCCAGCTTTATTCAAACGGGTCTAAACGGTTTTTTATGCAATCGAAACAGTGTTTAAATGACGTTCAGACTCTATAATGTATTGGGTTGCCCAAAAAGTAATTGCGGATTTTTTAAAAGAAAGTATATGAATTTTTAATAAAACTTAGAATGAACTTTAATCAAGTATATAATTGCCATTTTGTTCGATAACCTTTCGCCATCTTCCTGGCAAATTTAGTATTCCACTTAAGGAGTTCTGCAAAGATCGAAATAAATGGTAGTCTGATGGTGCAAGGTCAGGGCTATATGGTGGATGCATCAAAAGTTCCCAGCCAAGCTCACTCAGTTTTTGGTGAGTGACCAAAGATGTGTGCGGTCTAGCGTTGTCCTGGTGGAATATGAAACCTTTACGATTGACCAATTCTGGTCGCTTCTCCTTAATGGCTGTATTCAATTTGTCCAATTGTTGACAGTAAACATCCGAATTAATCGTTTGGTTCCTTGGAAGCAGCTCAAAATATACGACACCCTTCCAATCCCACCAAACAGACAGCATAACCTTCTTTTGGTGGATATCAGCCTTTGAAGTGGTTTGAGTTGGTTCACCATTCTTGGACCATGGTCGTTTTCGACTAACGTTGTTTTAAACAATCCGTTTTTCATCTCCAGTTATGATTCGTTTTAAAAACGGATCGAATTCATTGCATTTAAGGTGCATATCACAATCGTTGATTCGGTGTGTTAAATGATAAATATCTTTCAATACATGTGGTACCCAAATATCAAGCTTTTTCACCAGTCCAAGACTTTTTATGTGATAATGAATGGTTGATTTTTGTATATTTAACTTCTCTCCTATCTCACGCTCAGTTACATGATTAATGCTTTGATTTGGTCATCATCAACTTCATTTGGCCGACCTGAACGTGGCTCATCTTTAAGTGAAAAATCTCCAGAACGGAATTTGCGAGACCAATTTTGACACTGTCTTCCTTTTAAGGCTTCATCACCATACACCTCTCGTAACTTTTTAGCAACCTGCTCCGCGTTTTTTCCTTTACGGAAATAATAAAGTAAAATAGGCTCCATATTAAAATTGACGCCAAACAAACAAATGTAAACAAAATTTCGCGCACTTTTTTTCTAAAGCAAGCTAAAAGTAACAGCTGATAACTGACAGAAGAAAGAATGCAATTACAGAGTCACAAGCCGTTGAGAAAATTTGTCAACGCCGACTATAAGAAAATTACGCAATTACATTTTGGGCAACCCAACAGATGATTTCATCGGCATTGTCGACAATTGGCGTTCCACTCGCTCACATCAAAATCACCGGAACGAAAGTTAGATTATACATGACTGACTGTAAAAGTATCAGGACTATAAACGCTGTTCTCATTTTCAACTGTAAGGAAAGCTGTTTTAGTACGAAATGTAATATTTCTATTGCCAGCTAGCGGAACCCGATAGACCTATACAGATAAATAACATTTAATATATACAAGAAAATCATATTTCTTTTACTCAAAGCAGTATTTAAGAGGACAACATTCTTATGACCTTCTATTCTAATTAGTGGAAGAAAAAGATTTTAGGATACCGTAAAGTATGTGTATATAATTTTTTCAATTTCCTACTTCATTGCGAAATTTTAATTCGCTTTAATTCAGAATTATAAAATTAAATGTGGCACGTAGAGAAAGCAAAAAAATTATTTCTTTAATTTTTCTTAAACTATATATATTTATATAGGGTTATTTATTTCGTGGTTTAAAAATTACAGGGCAGTTTCTGTGCCTCTGTTGAATTTTACTGTCAAACCAAACATACTTTGTTTCACACAAGTGTCAGATATTTTGGAAAATTGATCGCTTTATAATCCACAAAACGGTAAAATTGTTAAAATCTACCACAAATGTGGTGATTCAAATGTGGACACACTTCGTGCTTTATTAAAATTGTAAAGAAATTTGAAGAGACTGGATTAGTTCCAAATATTGTGCATTTTTCTATTTCCTCCTCAAATATGGCTGCTGTGGGTGAAATTGTAGTGCGAATGTGTATATTTGTCGATCTTCTCAAGAGCTGGGAACGGTGATTTATCGAACAGAATTTTCTACAGTGACAAAACACATTTCTCACTCAGAGGACAGATAGATAAGCCGAATTATTGCATTAGAAGCTTCGATAATTAACTCTTTTTCATACTACTCAACATGACTTCGACAATATTTGGTTCCAACAAGCAAGAGCCATATACCACACAACTTGAGTGAATGAGACTTCATTGCGGGGGATTGAAGTTGCACCGAAATCAATCGATTTGCCGTCGTTAAAATTCCTTTGTGAGGATATGCGAAAAACCGTATTTATGTGGGTAAACCTTTATTTTTTCAGCACTTGAAAACCAACATTCGTCAAGCTGTGGATAAGATACCACCCAATATGCGCCGACAATTGGACGAAAATTACCTCAAACGGATCGAAGTTTGCAAAAGTTCTCATGTCAGTCATATGAATGCGGCAGTGTTTCTCATAAAATTCCACGGTCCAAACTTTATGAAAAGGGAAAAAATTACTTTAAATGCATTTTATTTTCATTCATAATAGAAATCGCAAAATATATAACCCTATTTGTATGCATGTCATATACGTGAATACTAACACACATAGATAAGTGTACAAGTCGACAACTAAATATGTATCTTTATACAAATATAAACATTTTGTATTTGTATAACAGCAATACATATATGCAGATTATCTCCTCCTACAACCGGCAATGGGTCACAGAGACGAACGTGTCTCCGCGCGGGAAAGAGGTATTACTCGTGTTGCAAATCTTTTGTTCGAAGAAGTGAACTTAAAACTTTTTCAATTACGCTTTATGCGTTAATTAAGCCAACAGCAGTGGCAATAAGAAAAGTAACAACAAATCAAATAGTGAAAGAAAGCTTGCCGTTAGCTACTACCCAACATGGAAAATTAATACTTGTTAACTAGAATCCAACTAGTTTGCATTTTTGTGTTAACTAGTTCATTTTTCACTTATTCCTCATGTAAGTAACTCATAATAAAAAATATTAAAACAAAATGAGTGACTCGAACCGTGAACCTCATGTACTACAGTGATAACGTCTAACCACTCGGTTATCGTGACGATGTAGTGAGCAATTTTGATTCAATAGAGATTAACAGAAAATGTAACGCAGTTGGATCATGTTAAATTTAACAAGAACATACGGCGGAGCAAATTGTTATTGCTATACAAATAACCAACCGATTCGATTTCGTCTTCACAAAGCTGGTTATTTACTCAATTTTTTCCGACTAGTCCGATTTTTCCCTTCAGGGTGGCATATATTATATAATATATTATACACAGTTAGACGCGCTGCGTCGAGCGAATGAGGGTCGAGTGTTAATGGTTAAGTTAATGAGAAAATGGGTTAAACCAATTTAAATTTCAGCATAGTTGAGAGAAGAAAATTGCAAAATAAACAAAAATTAAAATAAAAACAAAACACAAAAATA